CATGGAAGCGATTAATACCACTTGGCACTAAGCCTTGTAAAAGGAAGGCAGATTTTTTGACATGCATCCTATTACTTAAAGTAGAAGTCAGAATACCTGACACGATTAACTTCACAGAGCATTAAGCTTAAAAAATAAATAGGTCAGGACACATTCAGGGTTGTACCAGAGAAACTGTTATCAGGCTTAGCTTTATGTAGAGTCTTTCCCTACTTGGAAGATCAGATAATATACACTGTGTATTGTATCTGTGGTTTGCTGAGATGGAGAATATGGGTAAAAAAAGAATGCACAGTAGGAAATGATAAAGAAGACTTAGAAGGGATAGTAAAATAGTCTAAAAGCAACAAAATGATATTCAAGTTGAAAAATTTATTCCAAAAGGATACCCATGGGAATAAGGATATTGGAAAATGCCAGTAATGACATGTGAGAGGCCATTGGGCAGTTTTCTGAGAGCCAAAGATGGTCTTTTTTTTTTTTTTTTTTGCTATTTTGAACTTTGTAGGGAGACAAACAGCATCCGCAAATAGCACTCCAGAATCTGATGAAACATTTTTGCAAGATGTATTTTTGCTGCAGTTCTGTGTGACCACTTCAGCAGCAAAAAGGCCTGCAAGAGTAACTTAATACAATAGAGATATAAAACATTTCTTGCTATGAGATAGTGCCCCAAACTGCACTTGTGCCAGCAAACAGAAGTATACAGATCTTAAAAAGAAGCAAAGTTTGTTTATTAAACTGAAAGCATTTGCTCAGTCGAGAGAGATATCATGAGAGGTCACTATCTCAAATCTTTCAGAGTGTTGTTGATGCCTCCTTTCTCACTTTGGGATCCACTCAAAGTTATTTTTATAGGTTTGCTAACACACTGTACACTCTCTTCATAAGGCCCGGTACACCTACATTTACCACTTATGGTGTGTTTTATCTATGCCTTTGTTGCCTTTGATATCTCTAAGTTTGATATAACTGCATTTCTCTGATGCCCAGTAATTGCCATCTGTGAGTTGTTTATAGCCCTGGCACTTCCAGCATTCTCCTGTCTGTGTTCTGAAGGCCCCTGCTGCCAGTTCTGCACTTCCATACACTGCACTTTAATAAAATCACAGCTCAACCTATGCAAAACAATTGTTCATCATTGCTATATTAGCACGTGGCAACAAATTTACACAACACAAACTTACAAAGCTTATAAAAAGCTAAAACAAAGTAGGTGAATGATCACTTATTTGTTTTATGCTTGTTGCTACAAGCTAAAACAAATGTCTAGGAGGTGAAGAGAAGTCTAGACAAAGCCCTGACAAGCCTTGAGTCCTGTGCCAGTAAATTAACACATAGCCTGTGGCTTGAGACAAAACACAGTGCAATTTTAGGGTTATAAGACTACAGATATATGGGGAGGTAATTTCACAGGGAGAATAATTAAATATTGGAAAAGTTGGTCAGGGAGGTTGTGCAAGTTCCATCCCTGGGGGTTTTCAAGATCTGGCTGGACAAAGTCTTGAGCAACCTGGTCTGATCTTGCAGCTGGCCCTGCTTTGAGCAGGAGGTTGGACCTCCTGGGGTCCCTTTCAGTCTGAGTGATCCCATCGTTCATGACACTACGAGAATACTCTTGGAGACAGTAGTCAGATTCTACTTTCTCTTCTGCTCTCTGCCCTCCTCTCTTCAAACCTGTTGATTTTAAATGATCCACATCTACAATGTATTACTATCTGCAGCATTCCCAAATAACCTCTTCCAGACTACCAAAGACTTTGAAGTTGCTTCAAAAGCCATTTCTATACGATTTTATATCTGCTTTGACCCATTAATCTCAGCTGAGTTCTAGCTGATTGATGCCAGCACAAGATAGAAACAGCACTGTCAGATGAGGTGTTTCAGCCTTACTCAAAGAGCATCTTTGTCTGGTCACCATATATTATTCAAATTTCTACTCACCTCTTTCATAAATTTTGCAACTAAAACTACAGAACACAAAGAAATGGAGCAGTAATCATTGATGCCATACTATTGCTTTGCAAGTAGCTGTTGAAAAACGTGAAGTACACTTGTAAGAACCAAGCTGATGGTAGAGTTGACAGGTGACATGATACTGAGAGGGGTTGATAGAGTACTTTGGATAACAGGGTTGGAATTCAGTGGTTTTCATAAATGAAATAAATGATCTGGAGAAATGGTAACTGTGGAAGATATGATAGACATCTGTAGAATGCTCAGGATTACACAGCCATTGCCTATGCTGACAATTGAGGAATAAATAAAAGGCTTTATTTTCTAATCCAAGTGATTTTGTGCGAGTTAAAGGTAGAGAGTCATACTGTCATTTTCTGTATCTTAGAATGAATCAGTTTATTAATGGAAATGAAAATGGCCTAAGAACTTACTGTGAGAAGGAAAATGTACTGAGTTCTCATGTTTAGGGTCTGTAACACAGTGTTAAAAATTATAAGTAGCAATAACATCTAAATAGGTAACTCATTTAGATTGCTGATGACAAGACTGCAGGGGGTATTAGTTTTTTTTTGTTTTGGTTTTTTTTTGAGTGAGAATTAAATGCTAAAAGGGTCTCATATCTTATAATTTTCTTATAATGTTCTTATAATGTTCAAATAAAGGTAATCCTAGCAGTGACAATAGTGTTTGTTACCATTCCTGAATGTGCTTATTTACCTGATTAAGAAATGGAGTGAAATTTCAGAATGAAAACATGTATGGAACAGAGTTTAGCATTTGCAGATTACATGAGCATGCCAAAAGTATTAATTCTTCTGATGCAGCAGTGGGAGCAGATAAGTTTGTTCCACTGTTTCCTAGCCAGGTCAGTTTACTGACAGCCAAGGAAAGAATAGCCAGGACTACCTCCTGCCAGCAATCCCCAGCTCAGTGTACTAATGAATTGTAGCAGCTGCTACTCGAAAATGAAGTGGTTGCATTTATCAAAAAATAATCAATATCAAAAAAAGAACACAAAATCCCTCATCAAGACCAAAAGAAAGGTATAGGGTCCAAAATTTGCGATTCCAGAAGCACATATTTTGATGGCACATCTCTACTCAAAGCATAGACCCTCTGTTTAGCACTACACTTACAAAGCCAAAAGTCTTCCCCAAGAGTTTGGTGCGGCTAATTAATGATGGATGCAATGAGTAAGCTGAGATCACAATAAAAACTAAAACAATAAAACAGTGATGTATCAGTGTTAAATGAACAAATCATCCAATAAGCACAACAGCTTGCTTATTACTTTTTTTTTTTTAACTCACAAAATTACCACTAGTAGAAAAGATTTAAGTTCAGCTTGAGTAATTCACCTTCTGATTCATCCCAAATGAAGTTCTAACCAAGAAGCCTACTGACTTTGTTGGCAGATGACATTACTACCTGCAGAAGATGAGCATCTGTGTGACGCAGTCCCAAAATTTAACAAGTCCCAGGTTTAGATTCTGGATAATGTCATTCTTTGATAAACAGCCACTGTTTTTTCAAACCCAGCTGTCCTTGGCATATCAAATCTGTCACAGGTGCCTACAGCAGTGCATATGTTATTATAACACACAACATATATTCTCAGTGACACATGTCAAACCACATATCTGAAATAATTTTCATATTTGATGATAAACTTATATTATCATGCATCATATATTGTTTTGAGAATAAACTTCTATTTCCAGAAGTGATGTAAGGTTAAAGTTATGAAATGAAATTCATATTTAAGCATGTAAAGAAAAATAGTCTAATTTTAAAGACCCCTAGTTGTGAATACTTAGATTTCAGAGGAGTTACTCAGCATACTTGAAAATCAATCAGAATCTGCTTACATGTTTCCCTAAAAACACTGGAACCTAACCTTGAGTACCTAGATAAGGAAGTGTTGCCCTATAGCACAAAATTTAATTAAAAAAACAAACAAACAAACCCTTAAAATCCTTACATGCGAATGCAATTCTAATCAACGTATTCATTAAATATACAGAAATTCATGAAAACAGAAAGCATCCATTATAAATACATATTCCCAAATTTGAATCTAATATACATGCTTCTGATTTGAGTTCCTATCCTCTGAAATACTATCAACCCTTGTGTCACAGTGAAGGATCCTTATCTTTCAGAAGGAAAGCAATTACAGAAAAAGTGCAGCAAAGCCAGGTCAGGATGACTGTACTCCCAAAGGTCAGAGGCTACAGAATGGCAGCAGCCCTCCTTCCTCAGCTCGAGACTGTACTGGATATTAAGCTAGCCTACCTTGAACACTGTGTATGTGCAGAGAAGAGTTTTAAGTACTGTAATGAAGATAGGGTTAAGAAAATGATGGAGAAAATAGGAAATAATCAGATACCAGATATGGAAAGCATAAGAAAACAGTTTTCCAGTGGGAAGGAGTTAAACGTGGAGAGACTTAACGCAATAAGTGTTCCACGAGAACTGCTCTAAAAACAGAAAGCTGAATAATCAAAAGCAGGGTAAATAAGGTAGGTGGACTGAGGAGCTTAGACCAGTCAGGCTTCCTGCCTGCAGTTACACATGGACTTCTCAGGAGGACAAAATACCTGGGTCAACAGTATAGTAACGCCCAGCTGGCAGCATGGCAGTGGTGTAGAATCACAGAAGTGTTAAGGCTGGAAAAGCTCTCTAAGATAATGAAATCCAACCATCAGCTCATGCCGTGGCTGTGTCCCTCAGTGCCACACACACAGTTCTTGAGCTCCTGCAGGGACGGTGACTGCACCACCTCCCTGGACAGCCCATGCGTCTGCCTCACAGCTCTTTCTGAGAAGAAAGACTCAGCACACAAGGCACAGCACGTTTGTTTTCTAACAGGTGAACGTGGGTCCATTTGGGATGGCACCCCTGAACAGCTGAGAAGGTGTCCTGACCTACATGCATTTTGTACACTGCTAATGGAAACAAACTGACCAATGATCTCTAACTTGCCAGGCAATTTTAGAACAGTATTTTGAATATATCCGTGAAATACTTAATACGTAAAGCATCGCGTTAAAAGCATTGGCGCTTTCTTTCAACAAGCAAAAACTACGGGAGGGGCCGTTCCTGCCCGCGGGCCAATCAAACACCACAGAACCACCGGTGGGGACGGTGATGGGGGAGACGAGCTGTCACTCAACGTGGGGCGGGATCACCTCAGGGATTGCTGCGCGCGCGCATGCGCTCTTCCCGCTTCAGACGTGCGGCCGTTGGCGCATGCTCGTGCTGCGCAGTGCCGTTGTGCTGCTGGCCGCGGGCTCGCATCTCTGCTGTAGCTTGGATCCCCTCCTTCCCCCCGTCGGAAAGGAATGAGCGGGCACGCAGAGGTATGGCAGGCCCTCCTCCCTGTCCTCTCCAGCGCCCAAGGCCCGGAGTTGCGGCTTTTGCCTTGAGCCTTTGAAATTAGTGGAAAAAGTTGAAAGGAGAAGTGTGAGGCTCGCGTGTGCAGGAGCTTTGGGAGCAGCGTCCCTGCAGAAGCGCTGGGCGTTCAGACGTCTGTCGCTGTCTGTATATACAAACGTGACCACTGACAGCCATGCAGTTCGTGCGGCTTGCCCTCCACGTGGCGTCCTGTTTATGCATTCAGGTGATGAGGAAGCCACGTGGGTCACAGCACTGTGAAGCAGCAGGTGGTCACCTTCAGTTGTGGTCCCTCTGTTGCTCTTTGCCAAGGGAGCAGCAGGCAACAGTGCCGGTAGGGTTCTGTGGTGCAGAACAGGCTTTTCATCCCAGCCCCAGTTTGCTTTCCTGTACTTTTGAGAGTTTTAGTGTATATGGTGGCATGCATGCTCTCCAGTCCCCTTTTTGTCAGCTGGCCTTTCAAATCACAGAATCAGAGAATGATATGAGTTGAAAAGGACCACAATGATCATCCAGTTTCAACCCCCTGCTATATTCAGGATCACCAACCACCAGACCAGGCTGCCCAAAGCCACATCCAGCCTGGCCTTGAATGCCTCCAGGGATGGGGCATCCACAACCTCCTTGGGCAACCTGTTCCAGTGCGTCATCACAGTGTGCAGACTGGAAAAATAATTTTTACTTCTTATTGACTTTTTTTTTTTTTTCTCATTTGTAGGTTAAAGTGAAAATACCTTTTGGAAACAAACAACTGGATGCTATCTTTAATGTCCCAGAGAAGAAATTAAGATATGGAGTGATTCTTACCCATGGAGCTGGAGGAGATATGAATTTCCCTCAGTTAGTTTCTTTGGCAGCCTACCTTGCATCACAGGGAATTCTGTGCCTGCGGTTTACTTGTAAAGGCCTTAACATTGCTTATAGAACTAAAGCTTACAAAACAGTTGTGGTAAGAAGTGTCCAAATGCTGCCAAAGCTTAGACTGATGGATGTAAAGAGTTTACATATATATTTAAGTATATAAATGTATTTACATTCTTTCTGATTCTGAGTTTCTTAATTTACCAGCAAAGATTATTCAAGCAACAATGGGAAGATGAGAAGTGATAGTTAGCTAAATGGATAAGTGATAAAGTGCAAAAAGAGCAGGGACAGTTCTCATATGAGCTCAAGGAGAGAAAGAGAAGCTTGAGAAAAGTATTTGAAGAGAGCGAGGATGTTCTGTAGGGCAATCTGTAGGTGGGAAAAATGAAAAAAATTGATTAGGGTGAAAATGGGAGGTAGATATTACAGAAAGGTTTGGTTGAGGAGGAGAGTAAATGAAAATATATGGCTTTAGGAGAGGTTTTTCAGAAGAAGGAAGCTGAGCTGGGTATTCTGGATCTCTGAAGGTTTGGGAATGAGAGGAGAAGACTTCAAGGTAACAGATGAAGGACGGCGGATGTGTAGGGAACAGATGCAGGAGAATTTGAGGCAAGAGGTTGGGTGTAGTTGAGCGTAGCATATGAAATCCCTAAAATCTAAGTAGTTTTGATTTCAAAATCAATTTAAATTGTTATATGGCCATGTTCATCTATTCTGCTCTTCTATATATTCATCTATTTCTGCTGCTACTATGTTATTTAAGATGTTTTTCTATACCTAGCTTTTGTTAAAATGAACAATTTTTTGCTGTAGTTATATCAGCCTAGAGTCTCTTGTTCTGGAGTGTGGAGGAGGGAGTGGAAATGCTCCCCTGATTATCTGGCTACTTTTGCTAGGGCATAAGAAGGTAGCTTGGGCACTTTGCATCTGGCATCAGACACTTCTATTGTAGAACTAAGTTCAGTTAAGGAATTAATTTGCATGATGTCATTGTAATTATATTACATAGTTGTATGTTACCTTGAAGTTGGGCTTTGCTAGCTTTAATGTGGGTCTGTTTTGTATTTTTTTTTTATTTTTTGTGTGCGTGTGTGTGTGTAAACATGGTGTTGTTGAGTTTAATGCTGATGTGTAAAGATAATTTAAGGACCTCTGTTAAGATAACATCCAATTAGTTAGCACTTGAAAACAGAAAAAAATTGTTGCTGAATTTTTTCTGTTCTGTCTGACTGTATCTTAAATGTTTTTTTTTTTTTTTTGTTGGAAAAATGTTACCGTAAGCCTCAGGGTTGGATATTTGTATTACCTCTTTTTTTTTGCATTTTACTGGACTAAGAGTATGTAGGTAGGTAAGCTGATACACTTAATACTTGAATCGCTCAACATTTTGTTAACTTGATGTGTGCTGAAAGTGCTTCCCATTTTGTGTTTTAGTGTCTGCAAACAAACAAAAATGCTCAACCACTTAGCTGTCTTAATTTTTACTGTAACGTTTCTTTCTTCTTGCATTTTTTTTAGGAATACTTGAAGCTTTCTGATGATTATAAGCTTTCAGGTGTCTTCCTTGCAGGTATGGTTTTTGTTATCCATAATTTTCTTGTATACTGACTGTAATGAAAATGATCTGTAATTCCTCCATTCTTGGAGTCTGTCCTGCTTTGGTGAGAAGTGAAAGAACAGATGTGGGTGACAGTTTTCAGTTTTCAGAAGGCACTAAAATCTCGGTGTCTAACATAGGCACAAGCTGAAAAAACTCCCTGGTCAATATTGCTTAGGCAGAGCAGTTCAGCTAGGAGCATCTTCTTCACAGAGAATTGAATGCCCTGTAATCTTTGTAAATTGACTACAAGTCCAGTGATTGCAGTGGGAACATAGATGCCAAGCTCATTTAGAGATCTGGATTTGGGTGTCCTACAAGCTCTTTAACTGATGGATGAGCCCAGTGGGTGTACAGCTTAGCTGTCTCATGGCTGGTTTTTGAACAACACTGCTTCTTGGATCACAGGTGGGAATATCTAGCCTGATATTTTCCCAGAATTTTTTTTTAAATGTGATCATCTGGATCTATTCACTGTCCTCATGATACTGGAGATCTCTTAGAAGGATGAGGAAAAGTTCAGAAGACTTAGTTTTGCAGATAGTTTGGGAGAAAACTTGCTTATCACTTGTAACTTGCAAGGCTGTTCTCTGATAGAACTCTGAGTTCTCTGATGGTCCCCATGGACTTTCCCAATTAAACTTCTTGAAGAATCCTAGTTAACTGGTAAACAGCTATTTTCCCAAAGCAGATTTTGATATATAATTCTAGTGGCAGATAGAATATCAACTACATTGTGTGAAAATGGGAAGTAGATGGGAGTAACTAGGAATAACTTGATACTGGAAACTTAGAATGTTGTCCGACTAAGCGAAACCAAATCTGCCCTGATGCAAGTTAATCCCACTGGAATTCAACCACTTCTGACACTCAATTATAGAGCATTGTCAGCTCGTACGGTTCTTCTTTGAGGAGATATTTTGATATCTACTCAGTGTTATTAACTGACCTCATGTTTACACGTTCATTCTTTTTTTTTTTTTTTTTTTTTACCCTTTTTGCATTTAAGTTGAAATTTGTTCTGTGCATAAACAGTTGTTGGATGAGTTTTGGTAGTAAGGAGCATAAAACTTTGTTTTGTTCTATGATATTTAAGGCTGTTTGAAAAAAATCAATGGAAGGTAATTGCATTGTTGTTTGAAATTCCAGGGATCTGTAGTGTAGGACCTGTCTTTCTCTCCCTCTCCTCCACCAATAGCAAGAGTTGCTGTTCTTCTCAGTATTACAAAAGATCCCTGTCCATTTATCTTCTTTTTCTTTCTTTTTTAAATGAAATCATACTACAGCCAGACAATTATCTTTAGCAGAAATATGCTAAATTTATAATTTGTACTTTTCATAGAGTAGATAAGTATATCTACCAGTTCACTAAAATACATTCATTTTGATTGGTTTTATAAGTTGTTAACACTAAGAATGCAGAGGAGGTGATGGTGAATATACTTTTTTCCTTTATTTCAACATGGGAGAAAGGCCGTTCTATGGGCTCACGAGCTGCTGCCTCTGTGATACATCAGCTGACCCAGGATGGTAATAATGATGACTTCATTCAGGGTCTGATTTGCTTATCATACCCTTTGCATCGACCAAAACTGCAGTCCAAGCTCCGGGATGAAGATTTATTATTTATCAGGTGCCCGGTGCTGTTTGTCTCAGGATCAGCAGATGAGATGTGTGAAAAAGTGAGTATCCTTGTAAATCTCTGTGTGACAGCATAGTGTGGAGAAACAGGAATGAGTCTGAGTGTTGTTTGTAGTGATATCCACAGCTGTAACTTTGATTAGCAATCTTCTCTAAATATAGATCTCTGATGGAAGATTTAGGTAGAAAACTTCATCGGATTTAGAGAAACCTGAGCTGATTTCTTTTACACTTTAGCATGTCTGGATCGTGTTTGATCATCTGCTTTAGGAAATCTATCTTTTTGTAAATAAATAATTCTGATTTTAATGTATTGTCCTTTTTTATTATGATAGATTTTACAAATTAAGCAGCACGAGGAAGAGGCAAGTTATTTGCTGTCCCATTTCTACCATTTCAAGTCACAACAACTGAGTGCTGCTCTTGTACTAATCTACCTTTGTCACATTTTCATGACATTCTTCTAGCAAAGCAGTTCTACCTGCAAGTCAGCCATTTATGATAGTATTGTTTTTGTTGAGAACAGGTGTGCAGTGATCAGAATGCAGTGTTTTTCTGTCTTGATTTCTTGCGAGGTAGATATCTTTTCTTCTTGAATACTTCAGCTTGAATTTGGGACAGTGTGTAATGTACATGCAAAAAAACCATTTTGTTTTTAAAAGCTGCCTATTATGTTTTGCATAGGCAAAGTGAGAGATATGTGCATTCTACAATTAATAGCAGCTAATTTTCTAAATTTCTCATTCTTATTTGCCTATAGCAATTGTTAGAACGCGTGGCAAGCAAAATGAAAGCCCCTAAAAAAATCCATTGGATTGATAAGGCAAACCATGGGATGGCAGTTAAAGGCCGAACAGAAGATGATGTCATGGAAGAAATAAATGTACAAGTTTTTTCTTGGCTTAGAGAGAATATTGAACTGGAGCACCAATGATTTGCAGTGGTTGAGTAATATCTTCAGTTGGCTTTTCCGAAATGCAACACATCAGCTGGAGATGTGTTTTTGAAAGCAAGTATTTTCCAAGACTAAAATGTAAATATTTTTTTATGAATATAAAAAATATACAAGACAATAAAGAACATTTTAAAGGAAAGATGGAAAATCTATCAAATTAGTCTGAACAGTACTGTTTTTAGTAACTCCATTTGAAAAGTATGTAATATTTAATGTTCCGCATTACCAAGTAAATATCGTTGATGTCTTTTATGTATTCAAATATTATTTTAAAACCAAATTTTTTGATGCATTTATCAGCTGAATTAATACGTGTGAGCTGAAATGGCTGGGTTGGTCCTGAGAAAAGCATCTTGATGCTGTCTTCTGAGGTGATTGTCTCATCCCCATTGCCAAGAGTTCCCCAAAACCTCTTTTGGTTTTGAAAAGTTAAGCATGTGAACCAGATATAATAGTCTTTCATCACAAGATGCCTCAAGAATGCTGATAATCCCAACAATAACATGCAGTAAGCGTGGTACATATCTGAATGTTTACAGCCAATTTCTAAAGGAACATAAAATAGCCTTACGGGTTTGAAGGTGGCAGTGTTACAGAGAAAATAAATCCTCACTTTTGATGGGGGAGTTATGTTCAAACTTGAGAACTGGATGAATTTAAACTCAACTTTACATCTGTCAGAACAGAATTTGGAGATGAGGTTGGTATATTCGTAAGTTCAGCTCCTTAATATCTGTGGAAAAACAGCTCCCTCAGCCTTTTTCCATAAGGAGGGGCGCTCCAGCCCTCTGATCATCTTCGTGGTTGTCCTCAGCACTTGCTCAGACAGCTCCTTGTCCTTATGCTGGGGGCCCCAGAGCTGAATCTAAGCATCTATCTCCCACTCACCCCCTTCTCCACCCTCTTCCAAGTGATGCAGCAGAACATGTTATGGAGACTATCATTAGACCCTAACGTTTTGTTCCTTCAACTCTACCACAGTGTTTCTCTGCTCTTACTCCATATAGAGTCCCTCCCATGAAATGCCATCCTTCCCAAACTGATCCTGAGTGGGTTTCCCACAGGCTGCAGCTCTCCAGGCACTGTTCCAACATGGCTCCATAGCATGGGGCCCACTGTGCAGGAGTGGTCTGCTTCAGCGTGAGTCCTCACAGATGGCAGCTCCCACAGCACTCCTTCCCCACTGCAGGATCCTCTCCATGGGCTGCAGCTCCAGTCTGAGACTGCTCCTGTGGGGACTCTGGTTTATTTTTGCTAGTCAGTGCTCCATGTTACTTTTTTTTTTTTTTTTTACATTGTGGTAGCATCTTTGAAAAATCATGGAACTTAATTTTTGTATCTAATATGCCTATAGTGTTCTAAAGTGATGTATTTTTCCTTCAGATTGAAAAATACATTACAAACCCCACAATCATTGTCTTTGGGAATATTGCCTCTCTCAGAAGGAACAAAATGATGGTCTGAGAAAGAGCACTTTGGATACATACACTGGGGATAGATTTGCAGGTTTCATCTGGACATTTTTGCAGAACATATTTGTAACTAGTCTCAGTATACTGAATATTCTGTCTCAGTTTATTGAGAGTATCTACTTGAAAAGTATCTCAGAAGCGTAACAAATGGCTGTTATAAACATGGTTTTTATTTAAAAAAAATATAAAAATTGTAGTGTTTTTTGAACAAGGCTCCATCACTATTGCATGATAAAAAGGAAATAGGTGGTGGCTGGTTTTCTTCCGTATGTAGATCATGACAGAGTAAACTTCATAATATCCACTGAGGTTTTAATTAAATGTTTCCTTCTTTTCTTAAGAAGTGATTTTGAATGTAGGTAAATACAAAAAAAAAAAAAAATATATCTTTCTGTCAGAGTTCATCTTTGGTCTGTAATCAAAAAAGAATAAACATTTTTCAGTTAATTGAAAACTCAAATTTCAACTGTCTAGTCCTGAAAATACAGTAATAAATGTTTCTAACCATTATAACAGTCCGGAAACTGATAAGATACTATGCGGTATCGAGCAATAATTGTTCCAGTCTGGTTGAATCTGAACTAAATACATTCAACACTGTACATTTAACACTTTATGCGTTGTACCTTTTTTCTGTGGCAAGTGCATGGAAAAAGGTCATCCTCAGGCTGCTGCACTTTCTCCATGCCGTCTCTGATTTTTGGCTCACTCACTTGCAAACTGGAGTATTCCTAGGTTTTAGAAAGGAAGGTGACATCAGTTCATAAACTTACGACATTATATAGTCAATTGTAAATAATGCAACAGCTCAAATGAATAATTCCATAAAAATTGTAGAGCTACAGTCTGTTACTCCATCCACACTGTGACACAGAAAGAGTAAGCAGATACTTAACTGTTGACAGGAACCCCTTCGGGTGCCTCACAGCAGTTTCAGTATCTTGGTGCTAATGCACAGATATTTTCAGCTGTGGTTCATGGAGTGTGTGTCTGATGTGGAATTCTTTGATCATTGTGAGCAACATATTATTGTAGATTACATCAAGATTTATAGGATCTGATTGCTTCTCTCACACCACCAGCATAGTCTCAAGGAGCTTCATAGGAAACAACTGCAAACAATGTTTATATACCAACTGAAGATTTTAATTGTTGCTGCATGCTTTATGGTTTCAAGTACTGCATTGGCCAATTTCCAGCAGCTGTGTTGTGTGAATTCTCTTTCTGGGATTTCTATTTTTGTAGTGGTAGCAGTTAAAAATATACTTACCTGGAAAAGTTTGAAATAGTAGCAAAAGATGTGATCGCCCATGAGATTGTTTCTTGCAAATTCTTGTCCAGATTTTGCAATCTTTTTTGCCTGTCAAAGACAACAAAGTTTTGTTTTGTTTGTTTGTTTGTTTGTTTGTTTGTTTTTAACAATTCTGTAAAAATAGTTCTTTCAGGGTGCTTGTATTGATTCCAGAGTCATGTATAGCATTGGCAGTTCAGAATAACTTATCACTGATATTTATCTAGTGTTTAAAAGTCCCTGCTCTGAATTGTCCATGAAATGATAAATGTAAATCTCTTACTGATGAATGGAAAGGATCAGAAATTTATGCATTCTTAACTTTATAAGTAAGGCAGTCTCCAAAATACAATATAGTTTCCAAACTAAGGGCAGTATTATGTACTTTTAAAAAGTACTTTTATGCAGTTGATGACATTTATTCTGATGTCCTTTCAGAAGGAAACAATAGGGTTTTTTAAAAAATAAATGCACTTTTACTTCCTTTATTTTGTCAAGAAACATTGCTGAGTACTTCTAAACGTGTATTTTACCTCTTCATCATGCTCTTTCGCCCACTGTAGTTTTTCTAGTAGATCACTCAGGTCACTTTTAAATGGAATGTAGTGTTTCCATGGCTGCAGCTCATTATAAAAATGCTCATAGTAGATGGAGTCTTGCTTTAGCACTACACTGTTTCCTGCTAGTAGATAAGGTAATCTATATGCTGCCACTGTGCCATCAATATTAATTTGGTATTTATACTGGAAAAAAAATGACCATATGTTATTAACAGACAAGATGCAAATAGCTTGGTTAGAGTGTATTAATCTGAGGGCACTGGTATTACTGACTTGCCGATATTGAGAAATGTAGGATTGGCTAGGCAAGCAGCAGTTTTTAAGTAGCTTTTGTTATTTAGTTTGGAATTCATCACAGTGCAGGGTACACAGAGATGCCCTCTTCATCAGTTAAGTTCTCCGGAATTCTTAGACGCTCATCCTTGGATGTGAGGGTAGATGTGCCACTTCATCCACTGATTTTCCCACTATGTTAGTTATGTTAGTAGTCCTGATCGCTGAATCAGGAAAAAGAAATAAAAAGGAACTTGGAGTTATTAGATTACAAAAGGTTCTACAGAACCTTCAGATGTAAATCAAATATCATTATTCTCAATCTTAAGAGCTACACTGCAAGTTAATCCCAGTGGAGGGATGCCTATTCATGCTTGTCATTGGTGTTGTGCTGAAAAACTAAAATCATTTTATTATAACTAATATTTACAAAGTTATTTGATAGTGGGAAACATTCTCCAAAAATGATTAGTGGCTTACCTTAAAAAAATCAAAAAATGAAATGTGCTTGACAATGGGGCCATAAAGGTTCTCATCATGTTTAAAAAAAAAGAAGTTTGTGAAAGCAGCATCTATAATCTCTGGATATTTTCTACTGAGCTTTACAAGTTCAAGCCTCTCTTTGCGGCTGTCACGTCCTCTCCAGAATGCTATGGTATTCTTGTCTTCCCATGATGGGCCAGTATTTGCTTGAACTGACATCATATCCAGACTGACTCTGAAGGAGAAAGAAATGATTTGATAGTGATGCCTCTGAAATTATTTTACATGTGATTTTAATTATTTAAGTGCAGTTACTTGAAATAACTTAGGAGTACTAATAGGAAAATACCAAAGATGAAAGGAAGTCATAAGTACACCCATATATGTATTGTATCAGTAATTCTTACAGTGATAAAAAAGGTAAGGAATGTAGAGTTCATAGAATCGTCACAGAATGTCCTGGGTTGAAAAGGACCACAATGATCATCTAGTTTCAACCCCCCTGCTACGTGCAGGGTTGCCAGTCACCAGACCAGGCTGCCCAGAGCCACATCCAGCCTGGCCTTGAATGCCTCCAGGGATGGGGCATCCACAACCTCCTTGGGCAACCTGTTCCAGTGCATCACCACTCTCTGTGTGAAAAACTTCCTCCTAATATCTAACCTAAACCTCCCCTGTCTCAGTTTAAAACCATTCCCCCTTGTCCTATCACTATCCACCCTTGTAAATAGCTGTTCCCCCTCCTGTTTATATGCTCCCTTCAAGGCCACAATGACATCTCCCTGGAGCCTTCTACTCTCCAAGCTAAACAAGCCCAGTTCCCTCAACCTTTCCTTACAGGAGAGGTGCTCCAGCCCTCTGATCATCTTAGTGGCCCTCCTCTGGACTTGTTCTAAGAGCTTGGCATCTTTCTTTTGCTGGGGACCCTAGGCCTGGATGCAGTGCTCCAGATGGAGTCTCGCAAGAGCTGATTAGAGGGGCACAATCACTTCTCTCTCCCTGCTGGCCACCAAATTCACAGCTTTGTCCCAAGATGGCATCCAAGACAACACCAATGACAACACTGTGTGTGGAAAGAGGACCCATCAGCTGCCCAAGGAAAAAAGTGGCTAGAAGTGGATATGATTGCCAGACAGATGGGTGAGACAGGGTAATGCACTAACTGATAACGGTGACGAGGCAGCCATGATTAGTCCAAAGCAAAGTTTGTATGTAACTAGCTAAATAGAATATAATTAAATTACTTAAAAGCCCCGCTGAATTAAAGCACAAAAACTGTGGGAGTGGGGAGTAAGCAAAGGTTAGAAATCCAAACTTAATGCACTGTAGTAAGGCTAAAAATGACTAATGAAGAAACTGACTTTGTCATGTTCCAAGACAACAACAGGATTGTTATGATGGCCAGTTACCATCAGTAATCAGAGTGGGAGATGGCAGATTGCTGGTTGAGAATTCTGGCTACAAAGAACTATAAAAGACACGGTGTTCTAGAAAAATCAGGGAGAAAGAGTCCTGGCCACTGGTCAGCATGTTTCCTGAGGTGAAACAAAGGAAGCAAACAAAGTATCTATGCTTAAAAATACACTTTCAGTGCTGTTTTCAGTGACTTGAACACATCTAGACAAATGGTTATTTTTGAAATGAAAGTGTAGTAACATTTTTTGAATGAGAGTATGGTTTCATCCATGTAATTTATATGTTATATAATGGACAAATTGATTAATGCTAAGATACTGACTACATAGCTACTGCCTAACTACAGTGTGCCAATGTCTCAATGAATAAATAAAACAGTTAATTTACTGAAAAGATCTTTTTGGAAGATCATTCACTATGAGCTTTGAAAACAACTTAAAAGATTTCTTACCGTCCCATAGTCTCCAAAACCGAATCTGTTAAGTCATATGTTGGCATGACAATGTCTTTCGATTCACTGGACCCACACCATGAGAATATAGGGTGCAGGTTCTGAGGGGGTTTCTTTTTCTCCAGAGGCCAATCCCCCAAGTTAACAAAAAATTCTACATCTGGCATTTTCACCTAGACAGAAGTAAAGGAGGTACAAATTCTCAAATTAAAATATACATATACATGTAAAAATAGAATTAAAACCTACTGCTGACTCCCCACCACATATAAATATCTCAAAGCATTTCTCCTCAAAAAACACCCTTATTCTTCAATGCACAATGGCTGGTTACAGTCTAACATTTCAAAATTGTTCTTTGACTAGAATAAGTTTCATTAATTTTCTTATTAAATTTACAGAGAAATTAATCATGTGTTGAATATAAAAACCCTCCAAATGATTGACAATATTTTTCTCTAATGACTTAGCAGAGACATCCAGAAATTCCAAAGACAAAGACCCAAACCAATACTTCTTGTGTTCAGTACACACCCTGACGGAAAAGGTTTTGCATGCCTTCATTTCAAACACGGTTGGCTACACTTTCTAATTTTTAGCACTTAACTTCATTAGTACAGTGCCATCTAATGGTTATAACGGGCATAGAAAAGTGATGTGTTATATTTCATCTACATCATAAAATCATTGAATCTTTCATCAACCAGCACCCCCAAATCCTTCTCCTCAGTGCTGCTCTCAACCCATTCTCCTCCCAGGCTGTACCTGCGCTTGGGATTGCCTCGACTCAAATGCACAACCTTGCACTTGGCCTTATTGAACTTCATGAGATTGGTATGGGTCCATCTTTCAAGCCTGTTCAGGTCTCTCTGGATAGCATACCTTCCCACTAGCATGTCAACTGCACCACTCAGCTTGGTGTCATCTGCAAACTTGCTGAGAGTGCACTCAATCCCACTGTCCACGTTGCCTACAAAGATGTTCAGTAGCACCGGTCCCAGCACCGATCCCTAAGGAATGCTCAGTGACAAGCATTCAACAGGCTAAATTGGCTTCTTTAGCACAATAGATATACTGCCTTTCAGTGGCACTATCTAATAGAATACTAATTCTGAGCATATAGAAAAAATTACATTTATTTCATTTATTTAGTCTGCTAATGTGTATATTTGTCATAAAAGAAAATTATACAACTTGAAAGAAACATACTTGATTTTTGGATGATAAACCCAAGTTGTTCCAATTGCCTTATCTTTCAAGATGCTTTTAAAAATGTGTTTATTACTTCTGAATATATTTGCAATGATTAATTTTAGGTAAACAACTCCATACTTCAATAGCTCCTGTCTCTTTCTTTCCTTTTAAAGACAAGTGCTTTGTCTTTTTACAGTCAAAAATAATAGATACTGCTCAACTCCAATATCTCGATATTGCTGTTGCTACTGACATTTCTGTGTGCTGAAACTTCAGCTCTGCTATATTCTGTTAGTATGTACACAATTTTTTTTTTTTTTTTTTTTTTTTTTTTAACAGATATTTCCTAGAAAAGAGTCTGTACAGTGCTTTTTGCTTGAGTTTCCCCACATGCCCTGATGGGACTTTAGTGCTTTCCAACTTAAAGGAAAATTAATCGGATCTTTCCATTATCAAGAAAATAAGAGCTTTTTAAGAGAAACAGCAACAAATTATATTGAAGTATACTTCTTAAGCAAAAGTCTAATAAATTAGAACATACAGAATAAAGGACTATATTGATATACTCACTTTTCTCGTCAAAGAAAGAAGTATAGCATCCATGAAAATTCTGAAGCCAACATGTTCCCCATACGTCTTTATATAAACCTAAAAATAACCCAAAATTTTACTGGTCTGGTATTTTCAACATCAGAGAATGGCTGACACAATTTGTAGCTTTTTTAATAACTTAGTAACTAGTCAGACTGTATGGATTTTATAGATTTATTAATCAGCTGGGACACTTTACAAATCTCTCTCTAATTCATGATGGGAAAGGAGTGTGGTAGAAGACATGTTTTGCTTGTTTTTGTAGACATTTTAGATCTGTCTCATGGAAACAGAAACTGGTTGTTCGTTTCTATTGTATTTTATTGTTCTCACATCCATAACAAACTACTGAAGTAAGTTCAGTTTTATTACAGGGAATTGTAGCTCTCATCTCAGTTGAGCTAGGTGGTATGTCTTCACCTCAGAGTTATGCACAACGTAGTTCACTGATGGATGATCATGACACTCCACGGTAATATTTCAGAGAACAGAAAACAGAACTACTATTCAAGAGACTTAGTTCTGTTCCCAGTACTCATACTGATTGCTCAGAAAGTAATTTGCCTTCACTGTGCTTCAATTGCTTTAGTTGTAACACGGACAAAAAGCATTTTTCAAAGCAGAACAGATATTAATAGCTTATATACAAACTGCAAAGAATTCAGTTACAAGGACAGAGAAGCCAGCAAAAGAAGTTTCTTAAAGAACAGATAACAAGAGGCCTTTCAGCTGGAAACAACCAAGAAGCCTAATTGTATCACTTGCCACCAAATCCCCACAATTACTTCAGATCAACCCATACTGTACCTCATTGTCTTTGATGGTGTAATGACACAAGCTCTGTCTTTGCCCAAACCTCTGTGGGATTTCTATTGCAATCTTATCTGGATCAACAACAGGAAAATTTGCTAGGTCTCTTTGAATCTGTGGAAAGACCTGAGGACAGTTCATCTCTTCCAGCCATACACTGCTCTCCTCCTGAGGGCAGTCACAGTTTTCATGGTAAACCGGTCCTGTTAAGAACATATTTAACAGTTGTTTTTTTCAGTAAGTCACAGTATAAAGCCACTGAGATCAGAAAAGAGAGTCAGGCACTAGGTGCTAGTACTTTAGGGCCAAATCTTTAGCAACTCTAAATAGATACGGGCTGTTGGCTTTTTTTTTTTTTTTTTTTTACTACAATGGAATCATGCCTATCTACATCAGCTTCTTTGCGAACCCTCCACATATACTTGCTTGGAATTAGATTCACAGCATTTGTTCCTTTTTACTATAGTGAATAGTACACATAGGACACTTACAAATAGTCCATAATTCCAATGGGATTTGATAGTCCTCAACATTTCCAGAGAAGTGCTAAGGCCCTGCAGAATTCTATGCTAATCCTTGAAAACACTCCAGGAGACAGTTTCTGAGAAAAAGCCACAATATGAAGTCTATGCAGTGTGCTGCTTCTTACCTTTTAAAATATATGGAGACTTCGCAACATGTTTATCTTTGGTTTTGACTTCTATTTTCAGGCTTTTGTAGCTTGCATACATCCTATACCTCACAATGAAGGAACCATCTTTCCTGTCCAAAACTTGCACACCAACCCGAGTGAACTGTTCATCAGGAGCAGTGATCTTCACCTGGAATGCATTTTCACCTGGTGATGAAGTGAACCTACCAAGAGAATAAGCAAGAGCTTAAATAAGAAGCAAACACACAACAGTTTTCTTATTTTTCTCCATTATTTTTAAAGTCGATGGGTTTCCAGCGACTTCACTGAGCAGTACTAAGTACTTTATCAGCACATCCTAATGTTCACAAAGCAAGCATGATTTTCCTGAAGATAATTTTTGTCAGGTTACCTCAAATGAGTCATGCTCTTAGAAACACTAGGTATCAAAACATTTCCACTCAGATATTCTTGAACATATCTTGAAAACTACTTGGTGCTCTACATACTGAACAGTGTTGGAAATATGTTTTTTGCTTTGAATACTTGGGAACAGAGTACCTTTAAAAATCCAGTGGAGAGTGGAGCTCTTGGTTAGTAATAACTCAGATGTAAAATAAGAAGGTAGAAAGTACAGAAATAAATGGATCTTGGTGAATATAAATATATATATATAATATATATATCAGAACAAGCTTCATTTTACCAGCTTAGCAATACTGGTTTTTGTTGTTGTTGTTGTTGTTTGTTTTTGTTTTTGTTTTTTTCATACTTGGAAGCAAAATAATTCCAATTTATTCCTTTTCCAGATATTACTTAGAGAAGTAAAGAACGAAGTTAAACTTCTAATAAAGTTTGCAATCCTTAATCTTTATGGAAGGTTGTGAGGGGAAAAAAGGGATATCACAAATGTTGGTGGTTTTGGTAGGGAAAAAATACTATAGCAGGACCACATTCAACTACAGCAGATCATTCAACTATGTATTTGTCCAGACCTACAAGAGAGCTGCCAGTTCAATTGGAAATATTTGCTGTCCAAGATAAGTTGAATTGGCAGCTGCCAGGCTTGTGAGGTCAGGACTTATCTCCTGTAGGAAGCTGCAGAAGAGGTATGGAGAACCTTGTCACATCCCTGTACTGGGCTGAGGTGTGGCTGAGGCATCTCTCTAGACCTAGGAATTGCGAAGTCTTAGAGTAATCACTATGGAATCAGACTAATGTGGAGTCCATTACTGTAAGGATACCTGGATAAAGCCACGCAGCCCTGGTTAGGGAGGAAATGAGAAGGTACACTGATGAAATGGAAAGCCACATATTTCTCCTGAACACTAAGTTTACCTACTTACATTCCTACAAATCATAGAATTGTTCGAGTTGGAGACAGTCTTAAAGGCCATCTAGTCCAACTCCCCTGCAATGCACAGGGACACGTACAGCTTGATCAGGTTGCTCAGAGCCCCGTCCAGCCTGACTTTGAATGTCTCCAAGGACAGAGCATCCACCACCATGAAGTCACCTAATGGTCTACAGCATACACCCTAAATGACTTTACTCATCTGGAGCCACTCTGTGAGAGAAACACTCATAACAGTGGAAATAAGCAGGACAGTCACATAGCTAAACTGTAAATTAAACACCCCACGTACTTGCATTTGCTATGTATTTGATAAAGCTGATTGAACCATAAATTGTTGCCTGGACCAACGATAGACTGTTTAGCATTTTAGGTTTTTTCATCTCATCCCATTGCTAGTATACACGCAAACACATCAGAAGCTGCTCGAGGAAGGTCACACCGCCACACGCCTGGTGTGCGGAGGTAAATGCTGGAGGAGGGCAAACAGAAAGCCGTTTTTCCCTCCTCGTAATTTATTTCATCATCTTGACCGGCAGCGGGAAGGCGGACGGCTCCTCCGAAGTAACAAAGTAACTTTTCGACCGATCTCTCGCGCTTTTCTTCCCATCGGCGAAGAGCAAAGTCTGCGGGAACAGCTGCCGCACTTACCTCCGCCCCTCGGTGTCCACGGCCTGCAGGTAGAAGTAGCGCGCGGGCAGCACGGCCTCGGCGCGCAGCCCCGGCCCCCATACGGCGCTGCGCTCGGCGCTCAGCCGGCCCCCGCCGCCCCCGGCAGCGCCCAGCGCGAGGACCCCCAGCGCCACGCACCACCGCCAAATGCTACACATTGACAGGGCTACCCCCGACCGAGCCGCACCGCCGAGGAGCCGGGGGAGCGCAGCGAGGCTGGGAAGCAGCCGGGAAGGCCGGGACCCTCGTCCTTCCCTCACCGCCGCACCGGGGCGTTCCGCATGGGGGGCGGGGAGGGAGCGGGACGCGCGGCGCCTTGTCCCCGCGCGGGTGGCTGCGAGAGCGGCCGGCCGGCTCTGCTCAGCGCAGCATCCCGCAGCGAGCGAAGGAGAGAGGGAGGGGGGCGGACTCCCGCCTCCTCCGGCGGCCACCCGAGCCGCGGGCGGGCAGCACTTCCCTGAGCGGCGCTGCTGGGAGATGTAGTCCTGCGGGCCGGCGGCGGACCGAGCCGGGATGGCCCGGAGCTCCCGCAGAGCCGCAGCGCCCCGAGCGGCTGAGCAGCTCTGCTGTGACACCAAGGGTCGTCTCGGCGGAACGAGCCGGCTTTGTCTCTGCTTTTTGTGCTGTCGTTGGCTTCTCGGCATTACACATCGAAGTCTCCCAGTGTTTGTGCTGGCTATTTAACGGTGGCGTGATAAGTGAAAGAGTTTAGCGTCCTATAACCGGGCACAGCTAAGGGCCATATGGTTATGGAGTCACGGAATCACACAGGATTGTAGGGGTTGGAGGCCACGCTGGAGATCATTGAGTCTGACTTAACCTGGTCAGTGAAGACTGAGCTACAGAGGAAAAAATTGAAATTTCTCCAAATGGATGAGCTGGTGGATCAGACAAGACATGCATTGTTGAGATGGTAGTACAAAGGTGTAAGCACTGCTAAGGCACCAGGCATTCAGGTGTGCAGACTGCATATGTCCACTGTGTATAAGGACAGCTGTGCCAGAGAAAGTCACAGAATCACAGAATGGCACAGAAGGGATCTCAAGGATCACGAATCTCCAGCCCTCCCACTACAGGCAGGGCCACCAACCTCCACATTTAGTACTAGATCCTACCCTATACTTCATAACACAGTAATGAGCCACAGGTGGGACTGGAACAAATGAGATCCCAGTGGATCTCATATCTGGGTTTCATAGGAATTGTAGGTGTGGCATGTACTGCTTACCTGACTGCTGACTGTGTCCTCGATGAGCTGGATCCACAAGTTTATCAGTATGAACAGCTAAACAGAGAGGGCTTGTCACATTCTCTGTGTCTGAACAATACCAGAGTTGCTTCTCCATTTTTGCCCCTGGAGTGTTTAAGGCCTGCCTCGCTGGGATCATGGTCATCCTGATCCAGAGGGTGGCAACCCTGCCCACAACAGAGGGATGGAACTGTATGTTCTATAAAGTCCCTTCCAACCCAAGTCATTCTATAATCCTTTGATTCTTTAGAATAGTTCTTAACAAATACTGAGTATGAAAAACCTGGATTTCCAAATTAGGAAGACACCATGGAAAAGGTTAACAGGTATTTAACCTATCAGAGAAGTTGTTGTTGTTGTTGTTGTTGTTGTTGTTTTAGGGCTTGAAATGAGGCTCAAGAGGTTTCAAAAGAATCCTCTGTTTCTTGAAAATGCTCATAGCTAATACCAGACTGAAAGCAGAGCAGCTCCATTTGCACAGAAGAGCAAGTACAGAGAGCACGAGACACTGTCATTTTATATATACATATATAACTGCATATGTGTACACATATACCAAAATGCTTTTTTTGGTCATCTATCCATGGTAATATTCTCAAAATGAAAGCTTTGTGGAAGAGCTTCAGTTGCATGAGATACTTACAATTTCTCTTCATAGTTTTTCTTGTCTTAAGGCAAGCAATACGGAACATTGAACCTCATTATTAAAGAGTCTTGAATTTTGAAGAAATTTTACATTTTGAAATACTGCAAATATGTTTGTATATTAAAAAAAAACAAACAAACACACACACACACAATAAATCAATTGCTTTGAGGAAATCACAGGTCATGATTTTAATAATTTTTAATGAGCATTTTCATCAAAAGATGCCTTAGAAAAATTGTCAAGCTTTAAAAATATAATTTTTACTTCCCGCTGTTCCTGTTGGCATGACTTTTCAGTATTGCATTTCATCAGCAGTTAAAGACTTCCAACCCCTAATCTAAAAATTGACTCAGTTTGCATTTTATGTCCGCAGCCATTTAGCTCCTCTCTTACCTATCTTTACCTTCTTGATGTATTTTGCAGACAGAAATCACACTCCTTCTCAGCTTACGCTTTGCTGTGTGGAAGAAGCTAACAGCCTTATGTTTATTTTAAAATAAATTTCATAACTGTAGAAATCAAAGAATGTACTGCCTCTTCTTGTAAGGAGGTACTGGCACATTAAGGAAAGCAAAACAGACACACTTTACCCCTTCTCTCCCCCCCCTACATCCCCTTCCATCTTTCTCTCCTCCAGTTTTTCTTCCTCCATACAAATACAGCTCAGGGAGTCTGTGTACAGATCTGGCAGTATTTGTCAGCACCCAAACAAGCTGTAAAATAAAATCACACAAGCTAATTTTAGTTCTGGCTGGCAAAGCCAACACTGCTGCTATCCTAATGCCTGTAATTTGGCTCAGAGAAAAATGTTTTGGAGGCAGAATTGTTTAACTCCTTCAAAAGCAGTTGGCCGACTGGGGCTCAACAGGCTTCCAGCTGGCAAGAGCACAAGGGATTCTGTTCTCCAATCGAGGTACATCGTTTCTGGATGGAGCCACATGAAATCCTGAATTTGATATGGATTTTGTTGCAAACTTGGATCTACCAGCAAACATTATAAGACTTCTGCCACTTTGCTCTAATTAATCACTGAAAACTACCAATTAACTCTAATGTTGGATATTTGATTCTTAGTTCAGTTATTTGCAGCATTGCTCACAGAAGCTACTGCATGCGTTAGGGTTCTGTGGTCTGGGAGCACTATGCTGTAGTAGCACTGAATCTTGTCTCAGCAAAATGCTGTAACTTATGATCTTTCTGGTTTTTGTTTGTTTGTTTGTTTATTATTCTAGTTCATAGTAAGCCATGTAAGTGATCATTTAATGGTACAAATAACATTATTTTAATATAGATAATTTTTAAGTAGTTGTGGCAGTGCCCCAAGTGTCTGCTTCCCTCCCCCTGAATTCACATCTTCAGAGTCACTGTATGTTGAAAATACAGTAATTGCCAAGAAGACCAGAGGTATCCTGGATTGCATGAAGAAGAGTGTGGCCAGCAAGTTAAGGGAGGTGATTCTCCCCCTCTACACAGCCCTGGTGACTCCACATTCAGAGTGCTGTGTCCAGTTCCGGGCTCCTCAGTGAAAGAAAGATAGGGAACTTCTGGAGAGAGTCCAGTGGAGGGTCACAAAGATGGATAGGGGCCTTAAGTATCTCTCTTATGAGGAAAGGCTGAGAGACCTGGGACCTGTTCAGCCTGTAGAAGACTGAGAGGGGATCTTATCACTGTTGATAAATATCTGAAGTGCAGCAGTCAAGTGGACAGGGCTGGACCCTTCAGTGGTGTGCAGCAACAGAACAAGGGGCAATAGGCACAAATTGAAATATGGGAATTTCCGTAAGAATACGGGGAAAAACTTTACTGTGAGGATGACAGAGCACTGGAACAGGCTGCCCAGAGAGGTGATGCAGTCTCCTTCTCTGCAGATAATTCAAGACCCACCTGGATGCTTTCCTGTGTGACCTGCTGTAGGGAACTGTTTTAGCATTGGGTTGGACTTGATGATCTCCATATGCCCATTTTACCCCTACAATTCTGTGATTATGTGAAATATTCCCAGCACCTCCAGACAGCGCCTTCTGAAATAATCTTTTGTACAGTTTTCTCGAGGCGCTGCAGTCACACTTGTGCTGCGCTGATCTCACTGCAGCCAGAGCCATCTATCAGGAGCTCGGAACAAAAGGACAGACTGGGATGTGTGCACCTGGTTCACAGCAGGATCCCACGGTTGGTTTATGCTCCTACGCTTTGAGATGCGAAGATTTGGCTGCTTTGTAAGACTGAGACAAGGGCTTCTTGCCATCTTCAAACCGATGCTGGCTTAGGGCAGCAGGAGGCCGCAACCCAAGCTCTGAGCTCAAGCACAGGCGAGCGGCCTCCACCGGACGAAACCACGAGGGCGCAGAGGCGGGGGAGGGCGGGGGGACACAGGAGCAGCGGAGGCGCCTCTCTCCGGCTCCGAGGCTCTGCCGACGCCCCGCCGGGAAACACGCGGCTCCTCCGTGCCAGCCTGCAGAGCTCGCGGCGCCAGCAGTGAGGACGCCGCCATCCGCCCCCCCGGCGCGATGCGGCAGGTGGTGCCGCCCGACGGCGGCGGCGGCGGCGCGAGGAGGCGTGGGGCGGCGGGGGCGCAGGTGAGCTCGCTGTGGTTTCTCCCCCCTCCTCCGCGTCGCGCACTGCGTTTGTTTCCGGCCGGCGCCGCGCAGGTAACGGGCCGGGGACGCAATGCCGCAGCCACGCGGCCTTTCCCCTCTTTGGCCCTCTCCGCTCCGTGCAGCAGGCCTTTCCGGCGAGCCCCGGCCCCGCGGCTGTTAGCTCTGAGCTGAGTGGAGGCGGCGCGGCCTCGCTGCGGTTGTGTCGCTGCCTTCTGTGGGGCACCGCCGGCGGTTGTTTGCGGGCGCGTTTGCGGCAGGGGAGGGCTCGGGCGCTGTCGGCTGCGCTCCGTGAGCAGACGTGGGGGTGCGGAGTGCAGCTCCTGCCTGCTGGGTGCCGGGTTTGTGCTCATACGTGCGAGTTGCTGACATGATGCATAGCAAATACAACCGATTTGCTTGTTGAAGACAGATAATCAAAAGCGATCCAGCCTGATAAATTAGGTTTTGATAATTCTTAGCTGCTATCAATAAAGCCAGGCGCTCTTCTTTTGCGCTTTTTGAAGAATGAGAGGCACGCTGAAAATAAAAGGGAGCCCTTAGTAGTTGTACGAGGAAAGGAGTGAACAGGCTGGTTCCAGTGCTGGCAGTTTGCAATAAGCAGAGGTAATCGGCCATGTAAGCTTAAGCTTTGCTTGCCTGCGAACTATGCAGAATTCTTCCAAATTCAGTGACCTTATGTTTGTGATTTGTCCATTTGTTTAAGTTGTTTTGCACTATATCCATGAGAGATATTGTGACCTTAAAGGAGCAGAAATGATCAGGCACAATTATATGTGTATTTACTCATGATGTCGTCATCATCATAGCATCACTATAGCATGTGCAGTTGATGCTTCAGCAGTGATTAAAAAAGTACCGTTTCTAGAATTCTGGAGATGTTTAGGAGAAGACATGATGTGTGTTTGGGTGTATCTTGAAAGATGTTTCAGGTTTGTTGGGATGTGTGTTCAGAAATAAGCCTGGTGTGCATTTTTTAAGTTGACTGAGACCTCTTGTTTTCTTTCAGGTACCTCAGCTTGCGGTAGCAATGGAGGCAGCGATGCAAACTATGTGGTAATTACAAATAAACAAAACCATTCCTTGCAGTACAAGACACTTCCAATATTATTCAATGCCTCACATCTCAGAAGATGAAAAGGAGAATGGTTCTGGAAACAATGGAAACACTGAAAAGAAACCTGGGAAAGAATCCTCAGAAGTTTCTCTTCGTGATCCTATGAAGTCATACTGCATCTCAGATGCCTCCACTGTTTCTTTGGTGTCCAGGGGAGATGGACATTACCCATGGGGATGTCCTGTGACTCATACACGAGAGAAATTTTATACCATTTGCTCAGACTATGCTTTTTTAAACAAAGTAACATCCATTTGTAAGAGCCCAAGTGCTTCAGTTAGTGCCTGCCTGTCAGGCAGTGCTGCCTTAAATGTTGGAAATAACACACCTAGCTTGCTGGGCATTCAAACTGGTGCTTCAGAGATAATCTACAGTGAAGATGCTAACTTGGAAACCTTGTCTGGCAGCCTTGGAAAGCTTCC